GGATACTTCAATACCAAGCTCCTGTTCGCGTGTCAAACCACTCTCCTGGCCTTCCTCCGGAACCGCAGGCGCTTCAGTAGGAGCAGCAGACACACTTGGCTTAGTCTGCACAACCTGAAGGCGTTCTTCCGCACTACGCAGCTCGACAGTGAGTTCGTCGACTCTCGACTGCAAGTGATCTCTTGTCGTCTTCGCAGCAACCAACTCCTCCCGAGCCGCGCCCAAGCTCGTCACCAAGTCGTCAATCCGCTTCTGGCTTTGCTCATGTTCGTATTCCCTGCGCAACGATGCCTTCTTTCCCTCCTCAACCTCATCGTTAAGCTTCCGCTTGGTGGACTGGAGCTCCGATTCGAGAGACTCCACGCTACTCTGCAAACGACGACGGCTCTCAGCATCGGTATGCTCCCGCTCATTGAGGATGGTTTGAAGATTGGCGTTGAGAGAATCAAGTCGGCCTCTTTCGTTGCGCAGTGTCTCGTTGTCCTCAATGAGTCTCTTCTCGATATTCTTCCAGAGATCCTTCTCTGCCTTGAGGTTGGCATTCTCCCGTTGAAGGCTCTCAACAAGACCCTTCGTCTCCACCAGATCTTCCGCAGCCTGCTGAGTCCTGATATCCTGCCGGTTAGCGTTTTCCAGAAGAGTAGCGTAGCGTTTCTGCATTTCTGCGTTTTCGTTCTTAAGCATGTCGAAATTGCCCTGGAGAAGCTCGGCTCTTTGGGTGGCAGCAACAAGCTGGCTGCTGGAGCGGCTGATTTCGCTCATCAGTTCACTGTTCTTCCTGGATAGCTCATTGACCTGTTGCTTCAAAGCTGCATGATCGGTGGCGGACTCCTCGCGGAAGCTGTCGAAGTGTGCCTGCACCTTGCGCAACAGATCAGCGTAGTCTGGAACATCCTTGGCCGGCTCTTCGGAAGCGGGAGGAGCTGCGCCGAGAGGAAGAGACTGGGAGAAGACAGATGCGTCGCCAACGGTTTGACGACGGCGGGTAAGCATGCTCCGGAAGGTATCCCTCTCCTTAACATAACTCTTTGTTTGAGCGACGAGGTTAGCGATCTCGTCACGGTAAGTCTGCACCCGGATTCTCAGCTCCTTCAGCTCTTCTTGCTCTTGTTGACGGATGGCATCCTGCTCGCGGGCCTCTGCGCCCTCCATCTTATCCCCAAGCTCTCTCAACATACGGCGGAGAGTGACATTCTGCTCTTGGAGCTCGTGAAGATCCTTGAACGTCATCAAGTTGCGACTGATGAAACGTCCGGTTGGGTTGAGATCAGCAGAAGAGTCATCAATCTCCTGGCGTGCAATCTTCTCGAGTTCCTCCCTATCGTACGTGGTCTCGCCTTCCTTCAGAATGGCATTTTCCAAGACCAAGACCTTAATCTGAGCGCTCAAATCTCTGAGTTGCTGACGCAAAATGTCTCCCTCACGGGCCAATCCCTCCACTTGACCTTGCCACTTCCTTGCCTCCTTGGTTGCATCGTCTCGTTCCTTTCCAGCGGTTTCCAAGATGTTGGACATTTCGACGACGGCATTCTCGAGTCTACCGTGATCTGCACGAAGTTCATCAATCTCAGGCTTGCTGGCTTCAAGATCTTGGACCATCTCGTCTAGAGTCGATCTAAGCTCTTGGTTTGTCTTTTGCTCCATAGCCAGCGATGTCCGCATCTTGTCGTACTCGGTATACATCTGTGTCAGGGTGAGTCCTCCCTTTCCGCGCGACGCTCTAGGTGAAAACGCGCCCACTGGAGTACTGGGACGCATTGGGGTACTGGGCCCTGCGCCATTCAGCGCCGGGCTCATGGATCTCCTTCCAGCAAACCCATCGGATTCGAGCTGGCTGACCGTGAGCTCAAGCTCAGCAACGCGGCGCTCAGCAGCTTCTTTGTCGGCGTGTTCGGTTTCGATTTCCACTCGGAGACGGGAAATCTGCTCCGCAGCATCTTCTCTTGCTTTGTCCAGAGCGAGTTGGCATTCCTTGGCACGCTGCTTCGAAGTCTCGGCAGCATTTGACTGCAATTCGGCCAGTCTACTTGCACTATCCAATTCGATTCTGAACGACTCGGTTGCCTTGATGGCGTCTTCTCTAAGCTGGTTGATGCTGGAAAGCGCTTCTTCATAACGCTGCTCCACCTCATCCAGGCGGCTCTTAAGGGCGTTCTCACTCCGTCTCAATGAGTCAACATTGGCACTGATCTCCTCATTTTCGCGTTGAAGCTCCGAAATTCGGGCGCTCTTCTCCTTGCGGAATTTCAGATACTCGGCGGACTTAGTCTTCAATTCCGTTTCGAACCATTCGTTGTTTTTCTTTGTCAATTCCAAATCCTGCTGGAGGCTCTGCTCACGGAACTTAGCGCTGGCGGAGGCAGAGTTTGCGGCCTGGAGGTTCTGCTCGGCGGTGGAGAGTTCGCGTCTCAATTCAATTGTCTTCTTGTGTTGTGTCGAGAGCTCCTCGGCAAGCTTGTCATAGGCTGCGGACTTGGATTCGAGGAGTGATAGAGTGTCTCGGTTGGAAGCTTCGAGCGATGAGATGCGAGATTTCAATGAGCTGGCTTCGGATTCGTTTGACGTGGAGGACGACTTGAGTGTAGCAATCTCGGATTCCAGGGTAGAGCGAATGTTTTCTGCAGAGCGTAAGTAAACGCGTAGTGGCGGGTCCACATAGGAACTAACCGGACTCGTGGAGTTTCTTCCTTGTTTCCTCGACTTCGGCATGACCCTTCTCGACCGAGCTCTTCAGGACCTTAATCTTGTTGTCTCTGGAGCGGACGGCATTATCGAGTTCCACCTCGAGGCGTATCTTATCAGACTTGAGCTCATCATGCTCGCGTGCTTTTGTGGTAATAGCTTCCAAAAGCTGGTTGACTAGTTCGACCGTAGGAGCTGTGGTGAGGGTGCTCAAAGTCGACTCGGCAATGGCGTAGTGCGACGAAATAAACGGTAACTCAATCGTAGCAGCAGCCATGATTACCATGGGCTGTCCGCAGCGATAGCTGCTGGCAAATGAAAGGTAATGCTATATGACGACAAACAATGGACGAAGTGACGGAACTAGACACAGTAGGTGAATCGGAATGGGTCTGCTGCGCGTTAAAAGAAATTCCCCTTAGCGAGAGCGCACAGCTTCCAGGTAGCAGACTAAGCCATGGAATAGCGCTGGGAATGATGGAATGGGCACTAGTGAAGAGGAGAGGATGAACAGGGCCCCGTTGCGCGATGAGATGTAACGAACGAGAGGCTCCATGGCTGGGCGGAGCTCTCGATATGGTTAGCGCATGTCAAACTCTCACGTGATGTAATGCCCGCCTCAGGCCGGAACGGCTGCATCGCAAAGTCTCAGGCGGCGATGACGACCTTCTTCCTTCTCTTTCTCTCCCCACATCCCCACTGATTCTATTTACCTCATCTGTGAGGTAGTCTTGATCTAGGGATTGTCCCCCGGGGTTGGCCCATTTCTCTCTGTTCTCATATGATATAACACAGCCTTTACCAGAGCTCCTTTGTGCTCTCACAAAGCGAGGCCTCGCCTCAATCTGGCTCCACTGCCCCCTTGGCCTCGACCTTCGTTCTACGTCTCCATCTCAGGTGTAATCTAGGCACAGCCTTACCACCGCCAACATGTCGCATCTTCAACAGCAGCTGAAGAGCTTCAACGCTGGTGTTATGGACTATGCAGCCCGAATGCCCCAACAGCGTCGTTTCGTGCACAACGCCAACAATACTTCAGCGAGCAGTTCCCAGCTTCCCTCCTCTACGTCTACACCTACTCCAAGCGACGATGCGAGACGCAAACGGCACGATGCGGATATCGTTTACTCGCAGCCTGCCAATACCGGCACAGGAAAGGATATCATGACGCAAGTTGTCTTTGCCATCGAGCACATGAAGTCCAAGGGAATTCCGCTCAAGTTTGCCGATATTGTCTCCTACTTGTCCCTTCAACATCGGGCCAACGACCAAGGCTATGTTCAAGCACTGCGGAGCATTCTGCAGATGCACGAGAAGGTCCAGTACGATCCCAGCGGCGCAAACGGCGAAGGCACTTTCAGCTTCCGTCCCCCGCACAACATCCGTACTGCCGAACAGCTCCTCCAGAAACTTCAGTCCCAGTCGACTGGTGCGGGAATGAGTGTGCGCGAACTCCGGGAAGGTTGGCCCAACGTGGAGGACACGATCAATAAGCTCGAAAAGGAAGGCAAGCTGCTGGTCACTCGGAACAAGAAGGACGATCATGCCAAGATGGTTTGGGCCAATGATCCATCCTTGATTCAGCACTTTGATCCTGAGTTCCGTCAGATCTGGGAGAAGATCAAGGTTCCTGATCAGCAGGCTGTTAAGGAGGAGCTGGAAAAGGCGGGTATTTTGCCTACCAACAAGAACAAGGTTGTCAAGGCCCGGCCGAAGATTGAGAACAAGAAAGTGAAGAAGCCACGGCGGAGTGGGAAGACCACCAACACTCACATGATGGGCGTTTTGAGAGATTATTCGCATCTCAAACGGTAGTGCTTGGTTTCGTCGCCTCCTGGGTCCGAAAAGTGTGCCACTGTCTTTTTGGTTTTCCTTTTGCTTGGGGCTTACATTGCATAATACTGGCGTTTGTAGGGGTATTAGACATGGGGTTGTTCTATGGTTACCTGTACAATTATATTAGCAAAATCGATACCCGGATAATTCAATGGTTATAGAGGCTTGTCCAGGTTTCTGGTTAGACATTTTAATCTACTACTTCAGTAAGAAGGAGTGGTACTATCTAGTTATGTTCAACATATGTATACATTCGATTGATATCCAAGCCAAAAGCTACTAACTCTATTGACGAAGCCAACATCCCTCCAACCGTGCACCCTCCATCTAGTAAGTATATACACCCAGCCAATTTTCGAGTTGTTTCCCCCCTTGAATGCAACGAGGTCCATCCGGTCCCATGAGGTAAACCACGAAAGAGAGTGAATATAAAAGGTATGAAACAAGACAGTAGAAAGCACGCATGTTAAGATGCTCCAACAAGAACAATATGGAACAAGAAGGCATGCAAGAGAGGCGACGAAGAAAAGAAATCATGTATGAAGAATCAATCAACACTCACTCACTCTCACTCAGTGTCCATTAACGGCAGCAGCACCCTCCACCTTCTCAACATACTCCACCAGATCCTCAATCGTACACACCTTGATCCCCCACTTCTTGCCAAATCTCAAACACCCATCCCGTCTCATCATCCCATTGTTGCCTCCAATCTCCGGAACTCCCTGGACGACCTCTCCATCCTCCACAAGTTCTGCGATGACACCCGCCTGCGTCTTGCCCGCCAACCGACAGAACTCCACTGCCGCCTCAGTATGTCCCTTGCGCTCCCTGACACCTCCGGGTTTAGCCTGTAGCGGAATCACATGGCCGGGTCGTCGCAGATCCGCTGCCGTGGAGGTGGGAGATCCCAAGATCCGACAGGCAAGGGCGCGGTCCTGTGCCGAGATACCTGTTGTTATGGAGGGATCAGCTGCGTCGACGGAGACGGTATATGCGGTTCCCTTGGGATCGGCGTTCTCGGTAACCATTTGGGGGAGGGCGAGTCGGGCGGCTATTTCGGGGGTGACAGGGGCGCAGATCAGCCCACTGCTCATTCATCGTTAGCATAGATGATCTTGTTGAGTAACATTTGATATGCTGGTGGGGGGTGGGGGAGATGGGGGTTTCACCTTGTGTGGCGAACTAGGAAGGCCATTTGCGCCGGAGTGATGGAGTCGGCGGCGATGATGAGATCGCCTTCATTTTCGCGGTCTTGGTCATCGAGCACGATGATGAATTCACCGTTCTCTGGAGAAGTGGTGTGATTGTTAGTTATATGGGTGTAGTATGTATGTGTCATGGGTGTGGTGGGATGGATTTGCCCCGCGCCGGCGCGGGTGGGAGGTTCTGGAGCTGGGTGACTCACTGAAGGCTGCTATTGTGTCCTCAATAGAGTCGAATTGAAGGGTTGGGTCCGAAGGAGAATGCATGTTGGCTGGTGGTTCGGGTTTGGTTGTCTTGTATGAAGGAGGTGGTTGTCTTGGAGAATTGTTCCCCTCGTTCCTTTGCGGAATTGGAGGCGGGGCTGAGGGAATGGCTAAATGCTACCTTGAGGGTAACTGGATCCTCTGTTGGAATGGGGAGATTGGTAGGTTTGGAATTGATGGTGCTGTCCACGAATTGAACTCAGTTTAGGTGCGAAACCTCGAGGGTTTATAACAATTGCGCCGAGTACACTGTGCTTTGCGATTCCGTCGCGATCCTTAAGTGGGATGACTGTATTTCCGGGGCGGAGACTCGGAGACTCGGATTCGGAGGACGCGGGGAGGGGAGGACAGAGGGAATGGGATTTCGCCCTTACTTTTGGAATGAGGTAATTGAAGAAGCTGTTTATGGGATATGGGAGAAATTATGTGTAACTGAAAGCAAAGAAGTAGAAGCGGAGCCCTTCAAAGAGACCGAGAGAATGGGAAGGAAAGGCAAAACCCGTGGGGGCTCACTAATGGTTTGTCAGAAGCCAGTCATCGCGGCAGGCCGAGGCCGTTGGAGATTCTCGCCGCACCCGAAAACAGTGGAACTAGGCAATTCATCGCACAAACGTAAGGGGCAAACGGCCAGAAGACAGAGTGTAATCTTGTATATCTGATCTAAATAGGATCACTCGCAGGTTCTATCTAAGCACAAGGGTATCGCTACCATAACATCAAGCCCGAACTGGCGGTATATTAAACCAAACCAACGAATCATGCATGAAGGGGTACGTGCAGAATCTTGAAAAGCCAAGTATGCGTTAATCAGATGCGCTTCATCTATTTCACTGGAGGAAAACATCATCCTCAAATCACAGCCCCAGGCCCCCCATCCGTCTCACTTCGTCCGCCTGCCTCTCCAGTGCCCTGCGCATCATCGTGGCATATTCATCTTCCCGCCGACGTAGCTCCCGCCGTTTGTTCCGTCGCTCTTCACGCTCCGCTTCCCCGATATTCCCATCCAGAGTTATAGCATCATCTTCTTCGTCCGAATCTGGACCCATGTCCGGGAGGTTCGAGAAATGGACGCGTCCGATGTGTTCTCCTGTCCAGACAAGTAGTTCATCACCTGTCAAGCTGCCGCCGGTTGGGAGAATCTTTCGAGCAACTTCACCCTCGCTGCGAGACCGCGATAGGCTACCCCATAATCCGAATGACTGTTCTTCCTCTTCACCGTTGGTATCAGTGTTGCTTCCCAAATGAGTGGACGTTTCCCCATTGCGCTGTGGGTAGTATCTTCGCTGCGGTTGATATGAATTAATGTTCAGGCGCCGAACTTCGGAACGTCCATCACGCTCAACCCATTTGATATTGCCGTCTGCATCGGAGTAGACAATTCGGGTCCCGTGTGATTCGACTGAGAGCACCTTGGATCTAGCGACACTCTGCCGATTTTGGTACACTGTAGACAGGTTGGACGAGCAGCCCGATGGATCGCTCTTGGCGTTGGTGTTGGAGGGTGTGAGATTGTAGAGCTCAAGAGAACCCCGCCCTTTGTAGTCACCGCAGGCCACCAATTTGTGGGATGCGGGAAATTCAGAGTTGGGAGAGACAGGGAATCGCGGCGCCGGAACTGCAGCAAGACCGCAGAGTTGACCACCAGAATGAATTGTGTTCTGAAGCCGTGGGAAAAAGCGACGGTCATACTGTAAGATGCTTGGAAAACGGCCAGCGAGGAAGATCGAGTTCACGTGCGGTGCGGGAGGGTGTAGAAGCGAGAGAGGTCCTGGTTGGAATAAGGGTGCATAGTTGTCACTGTTCTTTGAGAGATCAGGGCTTCGTATCCGGTGCGGGGGTTGTCCGTTCGGTTGTAGCTGCAAAAGGGGTGAATCGGGCGGAGAATAGATCTCAGATTTGGGGACTAGCGAGACGGTCGGCTCTTCACAGCGTAGAGTGATAGCCTCCTGCTCCTCCGTCGCTGACATTCTGCCATCGTAGATGTGAAGACTCAAAGTGGTAGCCACCGTCAACGGTACAGAATAATCCGTCTCCTGGGACAAGGCAAAAACGGACCAAGGGAAGCGTTGTTGGGAAATAACAGTGAGACTTTCGAGATCTACCTCGTTTAGAATATTCCCGACAGCCAGGTAAGCCCTCCGACGCATAGAGTCTACGCTCACACATTCTCCGAGATTCACGAATTCCAAGGCTTGCTTTGCTCCAGAGTTGTCTCGTCTGCCAAACCGGTTGGCCATCAATATCCCCGGCGAGCTGACTCCAAGAACCTTACCCTTGGTGCTCTGGGATCCAATCGAATGCGAGTGGTTGAGATCCCAAATGCAGACACTACCGTCATCCAGGGGCGCAACGACTTTGTTCTGTCGAGCAGTACTCCAGTCCCGGAGCAGTCCCATTCCTTTGACCTCTCGGTATTCCCTTTTCCCACCCTGTGATACCCTGGTAAAGGGCTGCTGCATCCAACTCAGTGAAATCGGGCCATTTCGAGCAATGTACTCCGAGTACCAGTTCACCTCCTCCCCTTCGTAAGACGGGTCCCACGACGCCGCCGCTCTGGATCTTTGCCCATAGGACGGCGTTTGATCCAAGCCGCTTGATTTACTGTCTCCGAGCCCGGACGCGCCTGGCTGTATCAGCGATCGAAGCGAAGTTTGGCCTAATGAGCTGAGGGAAGCCGTGGAGTTGGTAAGCAGGCTCTCGGAGGTCTTGTTGGTAGCGGAACGCAAGGCTCCGGAAGCGCTCCATGACTCTTCGAAGCAGTGGAGTCTCCAGAGATTGTTATCCCGGGCCACGGAGAATAGCCGCCTCGAGACGGACTGAAGTTGTACCCGCTCGTGTGGGGTGAGATCTAAGGGTGCGTCAGCTAATGCTAATGAAGGTCTAGCACATGGCATGAAACCGGTGATGTGGGGTAACCTGGACCCTGGAAGAAATGGGGGCAAACAGCGTACAGTCAATAATCTCGCAGAGGATCTCTACGGGGAGTTTCTCCATGGGTGAGACTGGGAAAAGAGAACCATTGAGGGCCAACGGGTCTGACTCATTTAGCTTGTGCGACGGAGGGTGTAAGCAAAGGCCATAACTGTTTCTTGGGGATGAAGCTCCATTTTATCCCCCCACAATCCGCAATCTAGACCGTCGTCACGTGGGGGATGCGCAGGCCGACAAGCAACAATTCAGTCTAGCATCGCCGATCAACACTTCACACGTAACTGATAAAAAACTGCTAAGGCATATAGAAAGGCTTATGTGGCTTACGTAGTTTGGTCTAGAAGTTCAATTGAATTATTCTGCCCTGTAACCTAAAAGCTCTTGTTGCATTTGGAATGGCCGGATACTACATTCCAGCGCTATCATAGGCGGATTACTAGTCCTATATATAGCAAAGTTACACCGCACGGATTCTTGATGATTCTTGAAATTTCCGAAGGCCTTCCATTCTCTTGACACTCATTCGAGTCAAAACACTAATATCAACTAAGAGCCAGAACCTGATAGGCAGCTAAAACCTTTTCCTTCCCTACCCAATCCTTACCCAACCGTCATAAATGGCATTACTCGTACACTAACCGTCAGACGTGACACCAGGCAATAACAGCAATAATATAGGCGCCTGGTCGAGGTGCATAAGCATGTATCCTGGCTGTATTCTAGCAGTCAGGCTTGTAGACGGCGTCCTTGCAAAGCACGGCCACCTTCTTAAAGAAACGCCGCCATTCCAGCGGATCGCCCTTCACCTTCATGAACTCGATTTCAAATAGGCCCTCGGAGACACATTCGATCAAGACCTTGCCCTGCAGGGTGCACATCCTTCCATCCCGAGTTACGATACGAAGCATTGCGGAAGTGTCCCCTGCGGAAACGGCGGGAACCGCAGGAACCGGGACTCCTAAACGATGCAACGCCTCGCAGATGAGAGGAATTAGGATCTTAAGCTCCCACGTAGAGAAGAATCGTGTCATGGGACGAGAAGGCACAATATCATGGAATCGCTGGGCTTTCTGCGTCCGACTCAGGGGTACGGACGGATGAGGCGAGAATTGTGACATTGACGGCTCATCCTCTAGATGGTCGAGGGCCGACATGTCGTCGGCAGAGAATGGTCGCCCCAGGGGTTGTGTTGATGAGAAAGCATCCGCCACTTGCGGGGTATCCCAGTCGACCAGCATATCAGTCCTCGGCATCTCCGGCTGCGTTGATGAAATTCTTTGCTCAGCATCAATCCCATCACCCAGATCGATATCCATTCGACCCCCACCAAAACTACCCCCATGGGGTTGAGCGAAAGGATCTTGGGAAAAGTCGATATGGAGTGACTCGAACATGGTTGTAGCTAAGTTGATCGGATCCCTTAATGTGCCATTTCGGGATAGGTATTTGTTCGGTCGGGTATACCAGGGATGTCTCCGAACGTCCTCCAGGGAAAAGCGGTTAGAGGGGTCGATGTTCAGCATTCCACGTAGTAGCGAAAGAGTCTCTATAGGCAATTGCTGCCAAAGCTCATCGGATGTGCGTCCATTTGTTGCGAGGTATTCCTGAAATTCGTAACTGGTCTCTGTCGGACTATCCCACGGGGTGTTTCCAGCCAAGAGGACGAACAGGACGATTCCGCAGGACCAAATGTCCACGAGATCGGGTCGGTAGCCTGCACCTTTCATCATATGTTTGCTACTGCAAGATATCACTTCGGGTGCAATATATGGAGGACTCCCACAGAAAGTTGTAGACAACTTCGTCACACCCTTGTACTCGAATAACGTGGCTAGCCCAAAGTCTGCGATTTTCAGATTTCCGTCGGCTGTCAAGAGCATATTCTCCGGCTTGATGTCGCGGTGGCCCACGCCCTTCGAATGCATATAACCCACGGCACTTATCAGTTGCGAGAAGTATACATGCGCGATGTCCTCGCCGACACCCTCGTCAGCCTCGATCTTGTCGAACAGATCGCCACCCTCGGCCAACTCCATCGCGATCCAACGCCAGATGTCATCTTCCCCAGTTTGGAAGAATGAGATTATATTATTATGATCTCCGATATGCTTGTGGACTGTCGCCTCCATTTGTAGCTGACGCGGGCTGACCTTTCCCTGGCGGGCGGCGTACTCTTTGTGGATGAACTTGACTGCGAAAACGGGATTGTCTGTGTAGGTGGGGACGGCCTTCTTGATGCTGCACCGTAATTCTTCGTCAGCAAGTGCTTGAGGTTTCAAAACATCAAGGTACAATCGATGAAGTCAATCTTACCAAGCGTAAGCACCCTGCCCAATTGTTTTGGAAACGATGCGAAACGGCAAGTCATTCGGCAGCGGGGCCAGCTGAGAGTGGTGCATGTTGACGAAGATTCGCGAGAAGGACCAAATATGACAGATCAACTGAGATTCACAGATCTTGTCATTCAGGGGGGAAAGTCAATATTGAGCCATGATCGTGTGACGAGTGGCGAGTATCAATGCAAGGGCGATGGAAGGAGAACGAAGCTGAAGAGAACGCGCTGGGCGGAACGCGAGAGCCACTTTATCCTCTTTGGGTAATCTGTTGATCGGCTGCCTGGCACAGCCTTTAGTGGACCCAACATGATGGATAGGGAGGAAGGGGGATATCTCGACAGAGAAATGGAATCAAAGATCAGTAAGACAGGAAAATAGTTGAAGTTATTTGACTTGAGCGAGGAATGCGAAGACCAGGAGAGATGCAGCTAGCTACGAGCATTGTATCGACTAATTGACCGCCTGATCTGCCCTTCACTCAACACACTGGCCACGCTGCTTTTGCTGGCTCGATCTGGACCCGCAGCAGCCAATAATGAAGCCCAACTGCAGAGAAAAGATCCGGAGTCGCACCGAAACGACACCACAATTACGGAGTACTTTGTATGAACTTGCATCGACACCTGGCCAGTATTTCACTTAACCGAAAACAAAATTAGAAGAATTGGAGGAAAAATGGTGCATCATCACTTCTTCTCCTTACAAGAATCTTAGGGTTCTCATCACGGGAGATTCAGCAGAAACCTGAGTTTCGCGATGACAAAATGACTAGCGACTCACGATAACTTCCCAAGCGTGACGGATCTGGACCGGTCATCTGGTGGAGCCCCAAAGAATCAGTTGGCGGCGGCGTTGCCGGGCGGATGGCCGAGTAAACAATGAAAGACCGAACATCCCCTCCATTATTGTCAACCGGACATGAACCCACTTTTATTCTTCCTTACCCCCTGCTTTCTATCTCTCTAGGATTTTGAGCTTGACTACTTCAGTAATACTGGCAGACAACATTTTTCCATTCCTCCACCTTCTTTGCCCAACGTTCCATCAAGGCTTGTTCTGAGTTCACAGCATCCGGGGGTTCATCGGGTGGGTCAATCCGCTTCCCCTCCAGCCAACTGTCCCGCTGCATTCGGAGCCAGCGTCATTCCAGACAAACCCTCTTCTTCTTCTTCCTCTTCCTCTTCCTTTCTCTTCCTACCGATTACGACGGTCCGTTCAACTCTACCTGGCATTCCTCCCATCCCGGAAACTCTCGTCATCGTCTCTTCCTCTTAAACCGACCGTTGCTTCCGCTATACCCCCGATCTCTTTCACTTCTTCATAATGGACTACAGCATGGAAGACACTCAGAACTCGGCTCCTGACGCCCACGAGGCGTCCAAGCTCAACTCGTCAGCCCAGAGAACCGACATTCAGAGCGTCACCAAACGGTTCGTACTACGATGCTGAATGCAGCTCCTTCAAATCACTCACATTTCCTCTGGAATCTTGCATACTGATTATCATTCTATCTCGCCAGCCTCCAAGCCGAGCTGATGCAGCTAATGCTCTCCCCCTCTCCGGGAATCTCGGCCTTCCCTGACGCCGACGGCAACCTCCTCTCCTGGACTGCCACTATCAGCGGACCGGCTGAAACTCCTTACGAAGGACTTACTTTCCGTCTTTCCTTTGCCTTCCCCAACAACTACCCTTACGCTCCCCCTACTGTTCTATTCAAAACTCCCATCTACCACCCTAATGTCGACTTCTCCGGCCGTATCTGTCTGGACATCCTGAAGGACAAGTGGAGTGCCGTCTACAACGTGCAGAGTGTTCTCCTTAGTCTGCAGAGTCTGCTGGGTGAACCTAACAAGTAAGACGAAACCACATCGCAACGTTCCGACCGTTCATGCTAACAGCTACTTAGCGCGAGCCCTCTCAACGCCCAAGCTGCTGAGCTCTGGGACACCGACCAGGAAGAATACAAAAAACATGTTATGGCCCGGCACCGCGACATCGAAGACATCGAGTAATTGGTTCGTCTAGAACCGTCGTCGTCCGTTCGGTTGTTCCCGCAGACATGGGACGGACCGACTTGCATTGCATGAGATCGGGGTCTGTGCGTTTCATTTGGGGGCAACGGTTGCATGGTGCATTCTAATCTTCGTCGTAACGAAGTCATGAGTTCAGCACCGATGATTTTTTTTTCAGGAGTTTATGCGTTCGGGGAATTCTCGTTTGGGACCACAATTGGAATGGAAATACAGGAGCCCGCGCGTGTCCCGGGACAAATACCCTGCTTTGATTTGACAGTCGTTCTTATTATTATCTGCACATGATGTTGGGTTCGTTGGTAGCTACTACGTAGGCAGTCACTGAACAAAGAGATAGCTTCCATTGTATTTTTCGATCAATATAAGTGTTGATATTGTCTATACTAACCTAGTAGCAGAATACATAGGAGCTACTATTGCCATCGCCAGGGTGAAAAGTAACCCTGCCGACAATATATCCACCATAACCAGGACTATTCAGGCACGACAGGATAGTCTTTTGCGCTAGAAGAGTGTCCTCCACAAGCAAGCACAGCAAATACTGGTTAGTAAATAAATAAACAACCCATAATCCATTGTTTTATCGCTATTTACTCCCCCCAATGTTACTTTCCTAGATAGTATCTAGTGTCACGGAGTACACACAGTACTACATAGCTACAACTCCAACCCTCTATAATAAGTAGTCCTAGAAAGATAGCTGCTGCCCTAACTAACATCTCATCGTCTCTTAATCCAATCCATTGCGCTATGCTACAAAATTACATTTGATCCATAGCCCAGAGACCCTTAAAAAGTGAAAGCATCAGCACCTTCCTAAAGCAGGTGAAGAGCGGCAACGTCTTCCGGACTTGTCGAAGCCCCTCGGAGATCTTCCTCTTACATCTACTTTACACGCAAACAGACAGCTAGAAGAATGGCCATTCCAACGTTACTCCTTTTATCCTATTGCTGCAGAGGATGAACTGCCATCCCAAACCGAACAACTGCAATACACAGCTCAATCAGGCACATTGTTGTATCTCTCACTTAGGTAAACATGACGCTAGATCTACTACCCGCAGCACTCTAAATAGCAATCATTCCTGCAATCGCCGCGCTCATAAGTGTGCTGATCGCTCCTGTTATCATTGCACTAACCGCCACGCGCGATACATCTCCTGCCCGTTCGGGAGCCAGTTGTGCCAGAACTCCAATCTGGTTTCCTAGAGAGCCGATGTTCGCGAATCCGCAGAGGGCGTACGTGGCTATTAGTCTTGATCGCGGAGATAGAGTTTGGTATTGCGGGTCGGTTTGAAGGGCTGAGTATGCTATGAATTCGTTCTAACGGTTGTATCCCTTGTTAGGGGTAGGTTCTGGGTATTGGAGAATAAGCTTACCATCACAAGCTTCATGCCGATTAGTTGTGCTACTTTCAGGAGGTCATCATCCCGGGAAACACCCAAAAGGAAGGAAACAGGATAGCAGATATATCCCGTAATGAGTTGGATCGTCAAAGGAGGATTGTTGATATTCAGGTAGCGTCCCCACCAGGTGAGAAGACCGTTGGCTAGACCGACCAGAGAAATGATACAAAGTAGGTTGGCGGTGATCATGCCTGCGATTTTGATACCCATCCAGGCGCCATTGGCAAACGCGTGAAGGGCGTTTGCGGCTTGATGCTCTTCGTCTTCCGGGACGGTGACATGGCCTGCTGTGAGGGTTTCCTCTTTTTCGGGCCAGCGTATCTTGGATGCTGCCAGGGAGGCGGGAATGCTCATGACGCAGGAAGATACAAGGGCTTGAGGATTGACGCCCATGCCGATGTATGCAATGAGACCAGAGCCGGCGATGGTGGCAAATCCAGAGGTCATAATTTGATGAATTTCTGCCATGGTCAGGTGCGGTACAAAGGGCCTTATAAGCATGGCTGATTCCCCCTGTCCGATGAACGGGGAGGCCGCTGCAACAACCGCTTCTGCCCCGGACACACGCATTGACCAGAAAAAGAATGTCGCAAATTTGCGAACGAACCATTGTAAGATGCCGGCGTGATATAGGAGCTGCACAAGAGATACGAAGAACATAATTGCAGGGATAACACTGACGATGAACCATCCTTTGTGTTTCTCGGCCCAGCCTGTCTCGATGAGAAAGTTAACACCTTGCTCTGCGAACCCTAGTAGCTTCTGGGCTAAGGTGGATATGAAGTTAAAGATGTCGTATCCCGCCTGTGTCCGCAGGACAAATAGAGCCACAAGGAATTGAACCAACATGCCGACGATGACGGTATGCCAGACGATATTACTGCGATCCCGAGAGAAGAGCCATAGAATGAATAAGAAAACAATCAGCCCGAATAGGCTAACTGCTCTGTCGGCTCGCGTGTTTTCTGGTGTATCCGCAGAAACAAAACAACCGATCATGATCACGGCAATTGTCATTATCGCTGCTCCTGGTATACGAAACCTTGGAGGCACATAGCTCACAATACGTGAGGCGGTCTGTTTCCAGATCCAGTAAACTGGTCTGATGAGCACAGAGATGGGAAGATAGACAAAAAGAATACGCAGTGTGATAGCCAGATAGACGAGAAAGGGGATTAACCATCCTAGGTCATCACGGTGAAGTATGAGCCCCGTGACCCACCACCTGGGGATCAAGAATAGGTGAGTTTGCAAATCTATGGGGTTGAAAGCGCTGCAATCGAAGCTCACCCTGTGAAAAGTATCAGAATACCAGCATATGCCACATGCCTGGAGTGCCTGGACATGCAACGCCGATATTGTTGCCGAGGAGTGTGGCTTATGTCGGCCTTTTCCATATCATTTTGTTTGCCCTGATGTTCTTCTGTGGGTAGCTTCTTCATGTCTGGAAAACTGATAACATCGCCACGGGGGATTTCTGAGTTACCTGCATGAACACCTGCAGTCTCATTCGAATCGCTGCAAGCCTGTGACATGATTGTGGTCTTCTGGGTAATTGCCAGGGCTTTCTCATCTGCCATAATCTCTGCGGTACTAACTTCTCGGGGAGGAGACGGTGAGTTAGTCACGGATCCAAGGGATAAGATGATGTCCCATGGTGCATCTGCAGCCTCTCCTAAGGGATTTGCGGGGAAGAATGGCACGCGGTCCGAAGGTGTCTTATGGTGGGCTTACGGTGAGACACGTCTGATCAAGAATTGATGAGACCTAAGCAGTTTATGTTGCTCCGGCCATAATCAAGCTTCGGGGTTGTACAACGTGGGTCAAAAAGCTCTATCGACGAGCAAGACGCATTATGCCAGGGATGAAGTCACGGCCACTCCGGCGGTCTGACCTCTATACTTTCCCATCCTTGTGTCACCTGGGACTTCTGCTGCTTGCTGTTACTGGCTGTGTGTCCAGGGACGAGCATTTGTTGCGGGGAGTCCTCTTTCATCCAGGAAATTGTGCGGAGTAGTGTAAGTTTATTGATGACGACTGAGCGAACTGTTTTATCTTGCCTTCCGGCCATTAGCCTAGTCCTAACTCTTTGCGTTGAAGGGGCTAACTAATATGCTTCTTGATGACATCTCTATGACCGGTCACATGGCTCACTATTGCATCGACTTGCAATGCTTTCCATGTTGAGTTGTAGCTCGAATACAGTCGGTCTGATTGGCCGGAAAAGGCGTGGTCTGCGCCGTATCTTGGTTCTAGTATGCATGCTGCATCAGAACAATATTCCTGCAAATCCTGTGAATACTATTGCCTTACCACTTACAGTTTGCCTCTTTTTTTTTTTTTTTTTTTTTTTTTCCCGATAACTGTTTCTGGTTCAGATTTTCATTTTGATGCAAACTCGGTTCCTGTGATGAACGTTTCTTTTGACTTTTATTCCCAAATCAATAGCAAAAAGATACAGGCTTCCTGCTTTTGACCTTCTTCGGATTCCTTTAGCATCGAAGAGTGCGAGACCTATTTACCAGTGGGGTGCCACATGACAGAAAACATTCTACAATTGCTATAGATGTTCCATACGTTTGGCCATAACTCCTAATCATCCACCTGGCTGGCTACCATTGATCAGAACTCGGAGAAATATGACGTCCCAGCCAACGATTTTACCACAGAACCGTATAAGAGATCAGTACGCTTGACTACTAAGGCCTCACAAGGCTCTATGGAAAGCACTCCCAAGCAATAAAACAAGAAAATCACTGGCAGTTGATTATCCGGTCTCCAGAAAACATTGGGAATAAGCCGAATAGTTGTGTTTCCCATTCAACTTGTCTGATTTCTCGACTCTCGAATGCTCGATGTGAGAACTATAGGTCCACGGCTAACAGTCCTGAAACAGTGTATGAAAAGAATAGAGGATGCATGGCCTGCAAGTACTGGGTTCGTGGTATCCTTGGCTGGACGCCCAGATCGTAGGCAAATGGATTACATGGATGATGGTATGGTCACATTCTCTTTCGCGAAACAGCACTCGACTACCTTTGCTTCTATTATACATCATTGTGGTGGTTTTGGTTCCTACGACCTCTGCGGCAGTTATATATATTCATCCCCGATGCTAGTAGTTGATACTGAAGAAGACGGCGAGACATTACTCGGCAGCAGGACGAACGCTACACTGGAACAGAGCCCAGACCTCATATGGAGTGTTTCCTGCGAGTTGCAATTAGTCCGAATGGCCTATTCCCGCATGCGGCCTGCGACGCTTGAAACGTTACATTGAGGGAGACGGCAAGCGGGTTGGAGCAAGGAAAGTCGTTGGACTGTGAGACGGGGATGTACAACCTGACTGCAAGACATGGATGGTAGATATATATTGTCGCTGACTACCACACTGCAGTACCAGCCTGGATGGATTACATTCAGCGGATCCTGGAATTATTAAAATGGAGAAGCCGATATATGATCAGTTGTGTGCGATACACAAGGCAGAAACACCAAAAAGATCGACCGGTCGGTGCAGTGGACGCAACCGTTAGACATCACCGACCGCATCGGTATGCCCTTTCAATTGAACACCAGTTTACCGCCGAACATTTTTGACTTGACTGGGTCATAACGATGCGACAGACTGCTTGTGTGCAGGGAAGAAGGAAGGCAAAAAAGG